AAGTATAAAATAACAAACGCAATAATATTGATCAATTTCGTAGGATCGCAACGAACAACTGTTTTCCTTCACACAGAAATTAACCGAAAAACAAACAAACAAAAATTGTAATTCATCAGTATCACAGTGACTTTTTAAGAAAGGTCATGAAAATTCTACATCGTTAAGTTATCTAGTCAGTTTTCACTAAGAACTTACATCGGCTTTCCTACACTAGTTGAATCTCTACAAGTAAATACACTGAGTAATCATTTTATTTAAACGAGCCACTTGTTGTTTCCAACACCTAATCAATAACAAAGAAACCATATCTCGATGTATACAGTTGTAATCAATAAAACAAAAGTCACTTTTAAGATGGTGGTTGGAGGTAGTCAACAGGAAACCCTGGACCCGGGTTTCGTGCTACTTATCACTGGTCAGTAAGGTGTACCTGCAATCTTGTGGGAACTGGTGCTCCCTGACGGATTCGATCCCATGTCACCCAGCTTCACAGTCAGAGACATTACGACCGGGCTATCTGAGCCGCGACCGACTGGTCGATAGCATTCGATTCGCACTAAGAAGAACTTGACACACACCACCCAGCGATCAATCAATTGTGATTACACAATGTAAATTGTTTTCCCTGTTAATCACTCCCACTTTAATGTTACATGAAAGAAATTTACATCATGAGGTACACGTAAAATTCTGTTTTCCCATTCAGTCAGTTATAGCAAGTAGCCGAAAAATTTATGATTTTGACCAAGCGTCTGTGAGTGACTTCATGAAACACAGTATATGAGACTGATTTTAAGGCCTGGAATTATTTGGTCGGCTAATGACCTACAAATTCTTAACCCCATAATTTCAATTTTTAAACGAATTTCAGTTATGTTTATTCTGCGTAAAATATCTAGATATTTTCTACCGTCACAATATTGCACACAGAGCTTCAAAGTATTATTATTATTATGAAAATCTCAGGAAAGCGCTTTTCATGTCAATCTCATAAAATATTTGTTTTCACTAAATAGGTATTAAACATAACAGAGTCAACTGCGCTTGTCGATCTTCTAGGGTTGCTGCCCGTCCGAAGCTGGGGTAATGGAAGAGAGATGAACATGGGATCAGCGACCCCGTCTCGTAGAAAACAACCTTGCTAAAAGGTGTTAACCAAGATCAATCAAACAGTTACAGAAATGAGGAGATACAACTTGATGGTGCTCGAAATCAGTGAAACCCATTTGACCAAAGCTGAATTGAAAAGATTAGATTTGGGAGAGGTGCTGTCATATTCTGTTCACGAAATAGAAAATGCTTCACATACTCTGTGGGTTACTCTGATGTTATCCAAAGCAGCACAAACAGCACTTCTTGGATAGGAACCTCATGGATCTAGAAACATCAAAGCATTCTTCAAAACAAAGAAGGGGGAATCGCAATGAATTTTATCTAACATTATGCATCCTCCAACGATATCAGTGAAGAAGAGAGAGATCAGTTTTGTGAGAGGCTGTAGTTGAACGTGGAGAAATGCCCAGGAAATGATCTGAACATCCTGATGGGAGACCTAAACGCCAAATTCAGAATGGACAAATATAATGCAAATATAAGGAACGACATGAACTGGGAGAAACGAATTAGAATAGTGACAGATTGGTAAATTTATGTGCATTCAACAAAATGTTTATATACGGCACTACATTCCCCACAGCTCATAAATAAAGCTACATGGGTCTCACCAGATCACACTACACAGAATCAGATAGATCATATTTGCATCAACACAATATATATAAAGTTCATGGTAGACGTGAGAAAAGAGAGAGGAGTTGATATAGCTTCAGATCACAACCTGGTAGTTGCTAAGATGAAACTGAAGCTGAAGAAGCAATGTACGATTGTCGGAATATCATAACAAAGGTTTAATACAGACTTCTTTCAAAATACTGACAAATTCAATGAATTCAATATCTCTCTCAGCAAGAGGTTTCAAGCCTCACAAGCTTTATTCAAAGAGGAGAAAAGCGCTACGGAGAATAACTGGAAAGGGACAAAAGAAAAAGTAACTTAAGCATGTCAGGAGGTTCTGAGCACCATAAAGTGTCATAATAAGGGATCAGTCTCTTTCGGAAACCTAGACAAGCTTCAAGAAAGGAAGAAAAAAGACTACAGCAATCACCAACAGTGGAACAAGAATAGCGCAAGTCAAAGCACTGACCGAATACACAGAAACAAACAAGAAAGAAGAGCAGCATTAAAGCCAACAAGCAGAAATAAATGGAAAACTTGGTGGTGACAGCAGAAAAAGCTGCAAGAGAAGAAATTATCAAACAATTGTATGATATAACGAAAAAGCTAGCAGGGAAATATAGTAAGTGAGAACGACCGGTCAAAAAGAAATAAAGCAAACCAGACATTGCGATTCAACAACAATGGAATAGGTAGGTTAAATAATCTGAAGAGCTCCTGGGTAGACCAATTCCACTTAACCCACCGGACAAAGAGGCAGCACATACAGATCTTCTTATAACCCTTACCCCACAAGGAAAAGTTTTCAACAGAGTGTTGCTGAATCGGATGAAAGATTCAGTAGACTCTCAGCTTCGAGATCAGTAGGCTGGATTTCGTAAGACTCGATCGAGCACAGACCAAATCGCGACACTACAGATCATTGTTGAACAACCAATTGAATGGAACTCGTCACTATACATCAAATTACATGACTATGAAAAAGTGGTTGACAGTGTGGATAGGAGAACCTTGTGAAATCTGCTTCATCATCATGGTATGCCTGGTAAGTTCGCTAACATTATACGGAATTTATACAAAGTAGTCGTGCAAGGAGGTCATTTAACAAATGCATTCAAAGTGAAGACTGGTGTCAGACAAGGCTGCTTACTCTCGCCCTTCCTTTCACTTTTGGTGATCGACTGGATTATAAAGGCCTTTCGCATCTTTAGAGAAGCATGTGATACAGTGGAAACCTCGTACACAACTAGACAATTTAGACTCCATGGATCACCTAAATCTTGTATCCCTTGAACTCCAACAAATGAAAGCGAACACAACCGGTGCAGCAGCAGCACATGAAGAAGTGGGCCTCAACATACACCAGAGAAAAACCAAAATATGCAAATGCAACACAAAGTTCATCAACCCAATCACACTTGATGGAGAAGCTCTAGATAAGGTGGACACTTTCACGTACTTGGAAAGCATCATTAATAAACAAAGAGGATCTGATACAGATGCACAAGCAAGGACACCACTCTTACAACTGAAAAACATCTGCAACTCAAAGCACCTGTCAGCCAACACACAAGTCGGAATTTGCAATATACACAAGACGGTTCTATTGTACGAAACTGAAACTTGGAAGACTACTATAACCATTATCAAAAAGGTGCAATCTTTTAGAAACTGTGGTCTATGCAAGATACTCCACATCCGTTGGCCGCATATGATCAACAACAACAACCAATTGTGGAAGAGAACGAACTAGCTTCCAATTGAAGAGGAAATTAAGAAAAGGCATTGGTGATGGATAAGATACATACTTCAGATATCATAAAACTGCATCACGAGGTAAGTTGTAACTTGGAATCCTCAAGGATAAAGGAAAGGCGACAAATCAAAGAACAGATTGCGTCGGGAATAGGAAGCAGACATCAAAAGAAGGAATAGCACCTGGAAACAACTGAGAAGTATTGACAGAGTTTGATAGATAGTGTTGTTGGAAGGCCTATGCTCCTGTACGATGAGTAACAGGCATAAGTGCATCAGTCTGTTTTCTGGTATGTGCCACAACTTCAGTCGAATATAGTCCTGTTTGTCGTTGAACTCATGTTTACAAGTCAGTAGAGGTCGAAATCTGAATATGAAGGTTAGAACTATTTTTTGAACGGTTTTTATGTTTATGAACATTCACACCTTTAAATAATGATAAAGTTTCCTACTTTTCAATTTCAGATCACTAACGATCTACGTGTAACTGAAAGAGGTTTGTACTAAAAGATACTGATGACGCAATGGGGAGTAACCCGATCACTGATTAGAGAGTTCTATTGCGTGTTTTGTTATTCGTAGGATTAACAAGAGGTTATCAGATTTTAGTTTTAGTGAATTTTAATGTGAAACTCCAGTAGTATGAGTTATTAAGTAGTTTTCTTATTCAGGTTACACATACCAATGTGTATTTAAAGGCTACAGTACTGTGAAATCAAAAGTAATGTGCTGTTGAATAATAAACTGATTTCAAACTTAAGTTGGCTATTTCTTACAACTTTAAAAACCTGAATTCTTACTACATCTTCAGCCAATGATCTAATTATGGTATTTGTTTTCTAAAAGATTCTTGTTTTAATTAGTCAGACTGAACTTTACTTACATTTTCACTCATTATTAGCATGTTAAAGTGAAAATCTAGCCAACAGTTGTTATTTTAACAACTGCTAGATTGTTTGTTATTTAAAATGACCATATAATAGGTGTTCATATGTAAAATAAAATAGAAAATTTAAATAGCTAGACTAAGAGAAATGACACAATGTGATTTGTAGGATGTTTTTGAGAGAAAAGAGAGCAAGCACTAAGTTTTTCCCTAATCATACGATTTGTGACTGTGTCTGTCAAAAATTAGCACAGTGATCACGTGAAAATCGTGTATTAAATTGAAGAACATTCAGATGCCATAAAATTGCTTGTAGTTTATTAAAGGTGAATTTTTGTGATCACTTATGTTATCGATGTTAATTCAGTCAAGTGGAATCTGATTATTTTAAGTTTGCTGGTGATACCCCAGTACGGTTTGCAAGAACACGAAGAATCATGAGAGACAAATACCACTTATACCAAAATTAAGGTTCACTTTAAGTAGACGTATATGCTGGGTGTCATTCAGCAGAATATGTGACTCAAAATGAATTGTGAATGAATTACATTGTTTAAGTTTATTGTAAAACAAATAACTGATATTTATTTCTGAAACTGTAGGGATGAACTGGTATGCTTACTTTTTTGACACATCTCAGGCTTTGGACCCCAGCAATAGCCTCGTCCATTTACCACAGGACAGGAACCATGACAGGAATGTTTGGTGCGATCTGTAAGTAGAAAAGTAATCGAAAAGACAGAATTGAAAATAACGTGAATAACGAGAATACCCTGTGTTATGCTTTTTTAAAAGTTTACTGTGAACAAATTTCAGAATCAACAACTTAGTATTCACTGTTCAACTTCGAAATCATTATATGCTTATATAAAACAATATGGAAAGTGTAACTTAGCCATAACACATGAAAGACTGATAAACTGAAAGTGTGAATAGACTGAATTAGCATAAAAATTACAAAAACACTTTGCTGATAGCACCCAACTCAATTCGATTCAATACACAATCTGTTAGTTTTATAAAAGTATTGTTTTCATTTGCTAACAGTATTGATTGGTAATTTAAATATACTACTTAAATCAGTCTAGTCAGACTGTAATTTCAGTAGAATTTTATAGCGACTTCTTTGAAATTAGTATGAATACTACAGAACACTTACTTTGTAATTTATCATCTAGCAAGGCAAATTTTACTAAGTGATAAAAAGTCTCTATAGACTGGTAAATTCAATGGTCAAAAACGACTTGCTAACTTTCTAAGCTATCATATAGTTCAGTTCGTATTGCTGACTTTGGAATTCAAATAATCACTTATAAAATCACAAGATTGTGATTTATTTAACACTAGATTCTGGGAAAAACTTGAAAAACTAATATCTAACGAGGATAGGATTACTGTTTCATCGAGTAAACAACGTAAACAAGGTTTTTTCTTCGGATATTCCTGATTGACTGAAATGCTTAAATATATTCACAGAAACCACAAGAAGTCGAAAATGAATTTAGAAATATTCCAGTTTGGTTAGAATTTCATACAAAATGTCGCAAACATACTAATACTCCGTGCATCAGAAGCTTTCATAATTGAAATGATAAACGATTAATTAACGTCACATCTTGAAATCATTTAAATGATTAGTTCTACATAGCTTATTGTCAACGGACCTAAAAGATGACAAATATCTCTGGGGTTCAATCTTACAATACCCGAACATGCTGAAAATATAATTAAAGCTGAACCCAGATACGTTTCATGCATATTAGATCATAACCATATAATAAATTCATGATTGTGTGAAAATTAAATGGTGCGACCAACTAGACTCATATCTGATTATTTAAAACTGACATAACCCATTAAGCTAAAACTCTTGAATTTAACTTTTAAAGTTTATATCACTTGAAGTCTTCAAATTAAATCTACAAAAAATTTTTTTTTCACTCAGTATTGGAAAATGGTCTCTTTCTAATTTATGAAATAATATAACGTGGTAACGAAACACGTATTTGTGTAAGAGGCCTGTTGGAACTGTATCAAAGAATGACTTTAGCTATATAAATACTTAAAAATTGTCTCACTTTTGACATGGCTGAACTTCGCTGGCCATGGCATCTTTGGAGAATTCTAGTCATTTCTATCCGATGTTAGTCACTAGTTAGTAATAGGTGTTATTAGTATAGAAGGGTTGTGAATAGTGTCCAAGTTAAAGACAGATACCAAGAAGAGTAAGATGTTCAATGCTTCTAGATTTCCTATGGTGGTTTAGATAGGATTAATCTATAAAGACTTTGTTCATGGACTTGATATCGAGCTTGGAGACTGGCGATACTAATCTATTGTCCAGATTGAAGCAAGTCAAGCGAGTGCCAAACTTTTGTTCAGTTAACTGTTCTTGTAAAATGTTATGTTTATTTGCATAGAATGCTTGCAACTGAATTTTTTTCGATTGTTTATTAGAGTTAAAAATAATTTGAATAGAAAATAAGAGAGAAATAGAAAGGCAAAGTGAAAAACGATTTATGTAATAGGACAAATGATTGAAGACTGAAAATAGATCAAGAGAGTATTTATTCCAAGTGGACAATGTTAAGGATGAGTAAGTAAAACAATTTTCGAAATTCATTACTGATAATGAAACGCTTTATTGCTTCGTTACATTATGTTGAAAGAAAATATTTTGTTTTTTATTGAGAATTTCGATAGTGACATGACGTGATATTTATCAAATGTGTATAAAAATGGTAGGAAGTATTGAACTAGTTCAGATAGTTTTGTCTTAAATATGGGATAAAACTATTAAATTTCTATCATGAACGTTATTATCCTAACCATTATTATTTACTAATCAAAAAATGTGTGAGTTAGTAATAATAAATATATTCTTGAGATATCATAAGAATATAGTTATTATCATTAACTTTCTACAAAATGCTCAATTTATTTGAAAATATAAGGTCCAACCTTGACATTGATACCTACACAGCCATTATATGTGAGTTACTTGTTAAAGCTGCTTTATGTTTCCAAATAGTTTTTGCTTAGTGTTGAGAAATCAATTCTTAGGTCATTTGTTAGTAGATTAAGTGTGCTCAACTAAGATTAACGTATCACTGAAACTCTACTTTGGAAATCACTGATAGTTGTTTACAACCGTGATAACTTATGAATACTGGTTTGAATTCCACATTTTTGTACAGTGAAAAACTGAACAAATTAAAGCCTTTATAATTCGATAGGCTGGTAGATAGTTAAATGATTTGATACCAGTTTCAATGTCAATTTTCTAAGTTGATAGTTACCTGTTTCCAGTCAGCCTCGAATCTGAGAAGCTCAAAATGAAACAACATACAAATTAAGACGCAGGACAAGAATTTAGGGAAGTCTTATTGTAATGTATTTCGGTCTTCTGAATACAGGGATTCAGGTATGTTCACATCACTAGTACAACGGATAACTTTTAATTAATTCTAAGAAATAATCACTAGCTTACAGAGAATAGTAGGTATTCTAGATCTACAATAAATAGTGCATTTCTGCAGCTTACCAATAGTGAAACGTTTGAACTCGAAAACTTTAAAACTTGACGTTTTAATGTAAACCAATCTTTGATTCAATACTTATTCTTAGTATGAATACTAATAAAGAGTTTTCTCCACAGGTATTAGATTGGAACAGTATAGAAAGATAGAGTCATTTAATACAGTTGTAAACTGTGAATCTTCGTTCGTACCTGACAAAAGCAATAAATCTAATCAACAAACAAAACTGAGACGAATAAATAAATGAGAATTAGTAGTGTTCTGTTGATTGAACATTAAAATTTTATCGCCCGAAATTCATACAAATATATTCAACTTCTTTTCCATATATCACAAGGAAAAATTTGCGTTACCTAATGAACAAAAGTCAAGTACTTTGCCATGTGAATTGAAACTAGTTGCAGAATCTTTATAAGTCAATGGACATTGAACGACTAAATTTTTCGTTTTAGTTTACAATTTTCCAACAACAGCCTACTGAGTTATGGTTCATAATAGAACGCATGATATCTCATGGTGATAGGAACTCAAATATAGTGGGTTGTTTAAAAGTAATTCAGCCTAATAATAGCTAAGTAAGTAGCAAAATTGACGACCAACGGTTAAGCATTATAAAGCAAACACTTCCAAACAAAAACTAACCAAAAATTATTGCGAAAAATACTAGTGATATAGAACTTTATAGATTAACTAAGGTTACCTCGACTAAAGATTTGGATTGCTTGTATCATTCCAACCAAATAATTCCAGCATATATTATCAGCTGTTAACATCTATAGTAACGAAAGCCTAATAATGAGACGTCAAATTTCATGAAATATTAATTAAGTTATTAGATTACAGAACCTAAAATCCAACAATATCTAGTCCAGCTGAAACCATAAAATGTGTTTTTCAGCTTTAGTCTAATTGCTACAATGTGTAAGAAGACAGGAAGTTTTAAAGGAAACTAAGTCAGTATGAAGATCAACATATATTCAGAAGATTTCTCATAAAGAGGTGAAAGTAAAGACTTTAAGTCTGTCAGTCTTAAATAATATATACGCAAATGTGGTGAACGTTATAATAAGTATACTGTCGTTTATATATCAATTTTCAGTTGAATAAAAATCAATATTTAGTTGTGTTTTATTTTTATATTATCAAAACTTTTCTTGTTCACATTTCAAAATCCAAATTGACAGTGTTCATATCCTCTATTTATACGTTGTTTCTAACATTAATTTAAACATTGTATTCAGAATTTTAGAATTGAAAGTTTACTTAAGACGGAACACCTCAAGAGCTAATTTACAAAAAAAAATGTTTCTTAGAAAATGTTACCATATTTTCATTTATTTTTAAATAACCAATACAATCAAAATATCACATAAATCGATTGAATAACACAAATATAAATGTATGTTGATTAACGATCGATTTTATAGAATCTGAAACATGTGCATCTAATATACCATACTTGATAGTTGTATGCCTAATAATGAATGCCAAACAATTGATCGACCTGAAAAACAACTATATACTATATTGTGTGTATAACTGTAAAATATATACAATAACTGGCGTTAAATGAAAACTGTACATCATTAACTCAATGCTCTGTGTTAATTATCATCAATTAAGCATTACGAAGGATTAAAGCAATCGTAAAGTGATGCTTTTATGTAATCCATTATTGGTTTTATTCCTAAAGTTCGTGAGATTGTTAATCTGCTTTGTGTCAATATAGAGTATATGATGCACATAGACTGGATCTCCGTATATGCTCTAAACGCCATTTATAAGCAATAATAGTCATGACCAGAGTTGTTACATTATAGTTTTTGTGACATAATGTAGACGGCAGATAAAATAAATGTTTCTAGGATACATTTCAGTCGCTACTTAAACTAGACTTATTACGAATTTATTAGAAAATTGATTGTTTAGAGTATTCTTATGATAGCTTTGATGTTAACTCATTGATGAATGACATGCTTTTTTTGTTTTGTAGGTGCCTTATGAATAATACAGATTTATCTACCAATTAACTATAAAGTTAATTCTTTTTAAAACACTACCGATTACTGCTTCATCGATGTGCATTAAAACGTAGGTAAGTTTTTATTTGTCGTAGTTAATTTAATTCTGAGAATTAACACAGCGAAAAATATGGATTTTCATGTTTCCATGC